ACTTGTCCTTCAGCATAAAATTTAAGATTATTATTTGAATATATTTCAGTATAATAATCAACTAATAATTTTAAATTTTCATTAGATAAATATGCTTCAGAAAAGGGTTTAATTAATCTTTCAGGATAATCTTCAGATCCAGTAACAAAAAAATTAATATTAGTAATAGAATTTTGAAACTTTATTATTTTTGCAATTGTATAATTATATTCTTTTTGCTAATTGTTTATTTTGTAAATAATTTAAAGAAGTTTGTGCAATTGATATTAATGTTGGTTTTATTTGACTTAAAAGTTCATAAATTTCAATTTGTTGATTTATATAATTAAGCATATCCAATTCAACAGTTCTTCCGGAAATATAAAAACTTACAATTTGTTCATTTAATCTTTTATAAGCATAGTATCAATAACTATACCAAGAAACATAATTTAACATATCATCTTTTAAATATAAATGATAATGCATATTAGATATTATTATATTAGAACCATATAATTTTTGAAATTCTTTTAAAAATTTTTTAAATAAACTATGTTCATGATTAATTTCTTCAGTTGTAATTCTTTGTTGTGACATAATTGATACTGCATTTACAAAATATGACTATACTTTTTGATCTTGAATTGGTTAAATATCTCTTAAAGCCATTGTTGAATATATTAAAGTCCATGTTTTCCACTGATCAGATATAAATCCTAAAAAGCTAGATGCTATTTTATATGGAATTCTTTCAATACTAGCAGGTGGTAGGCTATTATTAACAATATTTTGAATATTAATAAGCTGATTTTTTGAAATTAATTCAGTTTCTATTGTCCAAATTTTTATCATTTTACAAGCTGTTCCAAGAAAAATATTATGCATTGGATCAAATACAGAAAATGTTATTGGATTAAAATAAGATAATTAAAAAAAACTTGACTATCGAATACCATATTGATCAAACAACTATTTATGCTCACTAGATATAGAATATTTCCATTTCTAGCTATTATTTTATGTTCTTTAATATTTTGTAAAGAATAATTATCAATGTTTGATTGATCTGAAGTATTATTAGTTTTAAAAATTTTTTTACATTTAAAATATGCATGTTTAGAAGAATGGCTGGAAAATCCACAAATTTTATTTCTTGCTAGTGTATCACATGAAACTAAAATTAAAGCTCTATAGTACATTCTTCCAGCTGGGTATTTTATAGTTGCAAATGATTGACCGGCCCATAATTGTTTAAGCTCATCAACTAATAGATCCAAATATAAATTAATTTTTTCTGTAGGTGGTTTCTTTGGTCCAGGAATAAGACTAATAAAAATTGTGTTTTCTTTTTTATATCTTAAATAACATGGCAGATTTAAAATAGTTAAATAAATGCCAGCAATTGAATAAATTGTATGTTTAGTAACTTTAAACCAGTTAATATTAATTGCAAAGCCAATATTAGTTTTGTGTAAAAATTTTTGAAAAAAAAGTTTTTTTTGATTATTTTTAAAAGTTTTCCATACTTGTCCGTCATAAAGATCAGAAAAAATATCAGATAAAATGTTTTCTCTTTCATAACAAGATTCTAACAATTTTTTAAAACCAGGTCGTTGCAATAAAGTAGCTAATTGACTTAAAATTTATTGATATGAATATACTTTAATTGGTTTGTAAATTATTTTTCCTTTGCTTGTTCTAATCAGTTTTTTTATAGTGTTTTACATTCACTACAACTTGCTTGTGAATTATTAGATATACTTTCTAAATTAGTTAAAAAATAGTATTTTTCACATACAACAAATTGTATAATTGTTTTTTTAAATGACATAGCATCTTTAGCTTTATATAATGTCTCTGGAAAATTTTAATCATTATTAAATACTAAAGCTTTAATAAATATTAATAAAGCTGTAATTGCAGTATATGGTAAAGTAAAAGCTTGTTGAAAAGAAAAAATCTATAATAAAACCCATTGAATTGTCAAGTTAAAAGAATCTTTAAAAGTATTTGATAATATAGAGTATAGTATATATTTGGAATTAGGTTGAGTATATGTTTTAGTATTTTTAAAGCTTAAAATTGTTTCTTCTTCAATATCACTATCTTCTAATTCTATATCATCAAGTAGTCCAGTATCTCTTATAGATAATGAATCTTTAAAATCATTTTCTTGTTTAGTTTCAGTTTCACTATCTTCTTTAGAAGAACTATAATTTAATGCTACTCTAAATTTTTTTATTCATTCTATCTCCTCATTATCTATTTCTTCTACTTTATGTTCTACTTCTTTATTTTCTCCTTCTTCATTTTCTCCTTCTTGCTCAATTCTTTGTTCAATATTACTTGCTAAAAATGATGAGTTAAATCTTCAGCAGATGATATTGATAAATTAAAGCTTTGACTAGTAGATAATAATAGTTCTCTAGTTTCTTCCTAATTATTATCAATAGAATAATCTATTCTTCCAAATTCTTCTTGTTTATGTAATCTTTCTGTTTGAGTACTCACAACTTTTTCACTTTCACCACAAATAGAGCAATAACACCAAACCATATTTGTTTAATATTAATTATAATGTTATAGTAATTAAAAAAATCGAAATATATATTTTTTTTGATTTAAAAACAACTAATTTTATATGTTATTGCTAAAAAAATAAAATGTAGAAAATGTTTTTTTAATATTATATTGTTTTTTAAACTTGGCTCTTGTTATTTAATAAATTTTTTACAATATATATTTATATTTTAATATCCAGGATGTATTTTTTTTTTGCCTAATGATAAATTTAAACCACAATCAAATATGTTTTCACTATATTGAAAAAATATATAGAAAATTTTTAATATTATATAGAGTTTTAGCAAATGTTAAGTTTGGCTTTTGCTATTTAAAAAAAATTAATTATTACATATAATTATATATTCAATATTTAGATTTGTATTCTTCATTACTATTTTTTTTGTATATTTTTTTATGTTAAGAAAGAGAGTGTGTGTTAATTTATTTCTCTTCTATTTATATAGCTGTTTACTATATTACATATAGTAGTTAGTTTATTTAAACTATAATAAACTTTGTATATATATATATAATATTTATATATATGAACATATATAATAAACAGGTCAATCATTGCATCATTGTATTCCCACTTACACACTGTTGCAACTGGGAAAAGTCTCCAATTTCGCAATATTAGTTTAGCTCAGAGTTATAAATGTAAGCTTGAGTTCAAGTTATAAAAGAAGGTAAATTAGTTGGATAGCATTATTCTATAGATTGTTGTTTTATGGATTATATAATAATTTATAAGTGAATAAATATGTACGTAATACATATGCAAAATGTTTATGATTGTCAATCTAGCCATGACTTAGACTATACAGTAAATCTGAAATTATTAAAGTTGAATTTCTAGATACAGAATAGAATATTACAGGCTATTAGCATGTTAAATAAAGATTATAACAGGTTTGAGATTATTGTAGGATTCTATTTTTCTAAACGCAACCTTTTTAATAGACATCTGGTTTTTTATTTGTTGATTAGTTTGCATATTTGTATGCCATAGTAAGTAGACTAATCTAGATTATAATCGATACAGTATTATTAATAATTCATTATTTTGTCATTTTTATTATACATGAAATAAATAAACTTTTTTTTATAAAATACAAAACTTGTTGAAACAAGTATAGATTAACTTAATCTATTCTATATTTAATTATGAACTCATACTCCAAAATTCCAGGTTGGAACTATGGTCAGATGGGCCAGAATCGATAGATTAACTTAATCTATTATATATTTAACTATGAATTCATACCCCAAAATTCCAGGTTAGAACTATGGTCAGTGGGCCAGAATCGATTAATTTGCCCAAGATTACTAATTAATTAAAAAGTGCGTAACTGATAATTTTACTATAACTTTCACCAACCAGTATAGCTAACCCTAACTTTAATGTTGATGTATTTTGATTCAGACACTTTTGTATAAAAATTTTTTATAGAATAATCTCTAAATTTCTGGGTCAGAATAGCTGAAATGCATCGTAGTTAGGGTTGTAGTTAGCTATTCTAGCTAGCAGAGCTATAGTAAAATTATCAGCTAGATATTTTTTACTTAATAAATGACTGGTCTTATTAGTAAAATTCTTAGTAATCTTGGGCAAAATTTATCAATTCTGGCCTATCTGAAACATTCTGACTTGGGATCTCCCTGCATGAGTTTGCAAAAAATTTTAACAATGGAATATTGTTAGATGGCTTTATATGATTGGTTAAAACTATTTGAAATATGATATATTAGTTAGATCAGAAAACTTTATACATGCAGAGTTTATTATTACTTGTGCATAATCTTTTATCTAGCTATATATATCGTAAATTAATTTAACAAATCAGCATGATTAAATAAATAATATCATACACAAATTTTTCTTGACCTATTTCATCTAACCAACAAGTGATTATTTCAAAAATTTCAGTTGTAGTAGGTCATTTATCATAATCTTTATCCATATATCTCATAACTAATTTAATATAACTATCAGGTCCTAAACATTTAGGCCTTATCAACTGATTATTCTTGATACAAGTTAATTATCAAATAAAACTCCATCAAATGCTCTTTGTCTAGTTGAAATTTCTATCATAATGACTTCAAGACTGTAAATATCTGACGCTTGAGTATATGGTTGACCCATCAAAATCTCAGGTGCTATATATGGCAGAATTCCACAAATCTTCTCTTCCTTTTCTTTTCTAGAAAGTTTATGATCAGTAATTTATACACTATACAAAGCCTCCGATTGCAAAATGTTTTTCATTGTGTAAATCTCTGTGAATGAGTTCCTGCGAATGAATCAATTCGAGATCCAGAGCTATACTATGCGTAAGATCCAATTTATCTTTCCATTTTATTTGTGTTACTTGTATAAGATTTGTCGTAATGAACCTTTTGCTGCATAATTCTATACAATAATATAACCACCAAAATTATTTCTTGATACTCCAAAATATTCCAAAAACAGTTGTATATCAGAATCCCAACATACAAAATCCCAACACACAAAATCCCAGCAACAAAATCCCAATAAACAAAATCCCAACAAATTAAAATTCTAATGATATTAAAATTTGAATTTTAATTTGTCGGGATTTTGTATATTGGGATTTTGTTGCCGGGATTTTGTTTGTCGGGATTTTGTGTGTCAGGATTCTGATATACAACCTCCAAAAACAAAGAATTCTCAACCAATTTATAGTAATTTTTTAATTTTTAGATAAATTCTAATTCATTTTCACTTGAATTATGAATCACTTTAAGTGCAACATTATGCAATGCATTATTAACTATATCTTCTCAATGTCGTAATATACAGTTGCAAATCCTTATTTTCTCTTTTCCTTGACATTTTTTGATCAGTAATACAAGCTATTTCTTTGCAAAATATTTCCACTGTGTAAATCTTTGTAAATGAGTTCCTGCAAATAAATCAATTTGAGATCCAAAGCTATACTGTGCATGAGATCCAATTTATCTTTCTATTTTAATTGTGTTACTTGTACAAGATTTGTTATAATGAACCTTTTGCTGCATAATTCTATACAATAATATAATCACCAGAATTATTTCTTAATACTCCAAAATATTTCAAAATCGAAGAATTCTCAACCAATTTACAGTAATTTTTTAATTCTTAGATAAATTCTAGTTCATTTTCGCTTGAATTATGAATCACTTTAAGTGCAACATTATGCCATACATTATTAATTCTATCTTCCTAATATCATAATACACAGTTGCAAATCTTCATTTTCCCTCTTCCTTGACATTTTTTGAAAGTTCTAAATCAGTAATATATGCATCATACAAGCTATTTCCTTGCAAAATATTTCTACTGTGTAAATCTCTGTGAACATGTTCCTGCGAATGAATCGACTCAAGATCCAAAGCTATATAATACAAGATTTCTAGTTTATCTTTCTATTCCATTTGTGCTATTGTACAAAATTTGCCATGATGAACCTTTTGATATATATTCCATAACAATAATATAGTCACTATAATTATTTCTTAATGCTCACCCAAGAACGAAGAGTTCTTGTATCCAATTTCACAGTGATTTTTTAATTCCTGGATAAATTCATACACATGATTATTTGAATTATAAATAACTTTAAGTGTACCACCTTTCCACACATTATTAATTCTATCGAACCAACCTGCATGATATACAGTTGCAAATTATCCTTTTTTAACTTCTCTGATATCTCTGAACTCATTATAGTCAATTCAAGATAACTTAAATCTCTCATGGTCTAATATTCTCTTAAGTTTAGAATTGATATAATCTGGTGATTTATTGGTTTTCAAAAAGCTTTTATATTTTCTAAACCAATAATTTGCACTTTGGATATCTTTTTTTGTACCAATACTATTTCGATAATAGGTTTGCTATCTCTAGCCTATATAGTAACAAAAAATAAAGAAGAAACTAATAAACTATTGGTCAGATATGAACCATTCTTCCATATAATGTAAACTCCAAAGAAAAAATACTAATTTACTACAATACAACTCAATCTCTGCGTCTAAAGGCAGTCTATTATTTATATAGCTGCAATGAAAATCAGAATACTGCTGCTGATGTACTTGTCGAATGAAGGTACTAAATGCTAAAAAAGGTCTTTATACTGCTATTGCAGTCATAAAGCCTAATATTAAAACACATGGTTTATACTTTTTGCAGCCGCAGAGTCTAGACATCAAATTGTATAATCCTTGCACTGCTTGCTAGAAAAGAAGATATCTAGTTTTAGTACTGCTGTAGCCACAAAGCCTACACATAATGAAATACAGCCTTTACACTACTGTAAAGCTGGTTTATCTAAAAAATGAAAAAGCTTTAGGAGGGTGGGTTAGAGATACCAGAAATAATAGTGACAAAAAAATGATATATACATAGTATATTCAATTACTAAGCAAATAGTCTTACTTAAAAAAAATTTTTATGATTTGTCACAATTAAACAAATTAAATAATATATTATAGATATAAAATTTAGAGAGTTAACCAAGTATTTTGTCAATAATAACTTATATTAGCATATTTTTACCTTGTTTAATAAATATTAACTATCTTAATTGTATTATATTTAGCGTGATAACAACTAATTATCTTATCATTATTAAAACATTATATTAGCTTTTGAAAATGCTTAAATATTACATTAGCTATCAAAAAAGTTTAAATATTATATTAGCTATCAAAGAGCTTAAACATTACAGTAGCTATAGAAAGAGCTTAAACATTACATTAGCTATCGAAAAAGCTTAAATTAATATAATGACAATATTATGCTATATTATTTTTTCTCACAATATACTAGTATGTATTTTTTTTTAAATATAAATACAGCCAGTTTTCTTTTTAATTTCACATTTTTTCTTCGTAAAACATTATTGAAAATGTGTACATTTAGTCACTACATCAAATTGAGCAAAATCTAAATTTGCCTTTTGTTAATATCTAAATTTTTTATAGAATATATTGGGAGAATTAAATAAGTGCAAATCTGCAAAAACCTGCGAAAATGCAGAATTTTTTGCAAAAAACTGCAAAATTTTTCATATATTGAAATTTTGCGCAGAACTGTATTTAATTTCTGTAGCTATAGCTGGTGAGTTCGAAGTTTTGCACAGATTTTCATTTAATTTATTATTTAATTTTTTTGTAAATCTGCACAGAACAGTACTAAAAAATTTCTCCTAATGTATGCTCCCAAACAAGAAATTTTGAGATTATTATATTTAATATCTCTATACAATTTAGGACATATCCAAAAGATTCAATTTCTTGATGAAAAAATAACAATTACTTATGCAAACATAAGCAAACCCAATTTTATTTTGATATGGTGAGGGCATATAATAAAGATGACTTCGAGAATAAGATAACCGATAATCTTAATACAATGCTTATTGTAAGCGAAAACCCTAACAATAAGGGTAATAAACATGCAATTGTAAAATATTATTCATTTAATTTAGGTATATTATTTTAGTTTTATTGCACTTAACAAAAGATAAGCTTGTCTTTTGTTAATATATTTTAATTTATACTTTTGATTAAAATTTAAAGATATCAAGAAAATATTAACCCGAAAGAAGGAAATAATAAAGATGATGAAGCAAATTTTGATCTGAAAGAAGGAAAAGATATATATAATAAAGAAAACCAAGACAAAAGGAAAAGCAATAATATAGAAAAGAGTGTAGCAAAAAAAAATAAAATAAGTATAGTGGAGGAAAGTGAAAATGAGTCTGAAGAAAACGTTGAAAATGGCAAATTAATAAGATAAAAGATAAAGTAGATTTAGTCAAAAATGAAAGTAATGTGGTAGAAGAAGAGAGTAACAAATTGGAAAGAAGTAATGAGATAGAAGAAATAGAAAACAATGAAGAAAAATTTGGAGATAATGATGATGAAAAAGAATTTGAAGATAATGATGACAAAGAATTTGGAGATAATAACAAAATTGGAGATAACGACAACGAATTTGGAGATAATGACAATGAATTTGGAGATAACAAAGATGAAGATAAAGAAGAAATAATAAATAAAAAAAGAAAGAGTAAAGAATCACAAAATAGTAAAAAACGTATATATAATAAGTAAATAAATAAATATTTTATAAAAATAAATATTTAATAATTATAGCTTTTAATTTTTGCAGGGTTTAAATCTGATATTTCTCTAACCGGTAACAAACTAAGAGCCACAAAACTATATAAATAATTTCTTTTATTAGAAGAAGGGCTTCCTCTTATTGCACTATTTTTTGATAACAATACACAAGTTCGCAAATCAGATTATTATAGAAATATAAAAAAACATTTAAAAACTATAATATATCAGAGTTCGACTTCAAAGATAATTTAATTTGATTCTTCATTGATTAAAGGAGCACTTAGTATGGACCTATATCAAGAAGAACAAGAGCCTGCTGCTTCAATTTTATTAGAATTTGATGATAGTAACTTGCGAGATCAAATTTATTTGTTGCGAAAAGTTCCTAAATTACTATTAGATATTTTAACTAATACATCATTATTTAACACAAACAATCAACAAATATTAATGTTTTCTTCTCTTATAAGCATGTGCTACAAATTAATTTATAAAGTTGAAATCAGTTCATATAATTCAGAATTATATTAAAGAATGTCCTTAAGATTTTTGTATGAATTCGAATTGGCATACTGTTACATAAAAGATTTCATTATTAAGTATACTAGTCGATCAAAAGGAATGAAATCTACTACGCAAATCAATGAACTTCTTACTGGAAGAATTACACTACAACAATTATTAAATATTCAAAGACTACTTATTAAGCAAAATAAAAAAAAATTGGTTACATTAGATAAGATTTCAATTAATATTCTAGGATTTTTTGGTAAGGTTTTAGTATGCAAACTTAAAACATTCACTACTGCAAGACCACGACTAGTAGAACTTCTTAAAGCTTTAAATGACAATTGGGTAATACTTGACTTGGTTGATTATACAACTATAACTTGGCTTGCAAATATTAAAAAAGATGAATGGATAGAACTTATTTATCAAATTACATCAAATTTATAAATTTGTTTGTTATATTTGTATTCAATTTATAAACTATTAGCATTAGTATAATTCAATATATATATATAAATTTTGGTTTAAATTTGCATAATAGATTAGTTTACAAAATTAATAAATTGTTATATAGTTTTTGCTTTTAAGTAACACTAAATAATATTAAATATGATGGATTAAAATAAAATATTGTATCCCTTAAACCATCCATTTAAGCAGACAAATTTGGCCGTTTAAATTTTATAAATTCATATCTGATCTATTTTTTTAAAAAATAAAAATATTTTATAATTTTTTTTTTAAATAAAAGCTATAATTAAATACTATTTAAAACTTCTTTTTATTTGCTTAATATTTATAAAAAATTTGAAGTTGCTTATAGAAGAAAATTTATAATTTTTTAAAAAAATTTTAATTTTAAATTTTTTTTCTGTTTTTTTTTTTTAGTTTTACTCAATAAAAATATAAGCTTTGACCCCTATTACCTTAATCCAAAGTTGTAGACAATTTAAAATTACACTACTTTTATTATTAAAACTTTTATAACTTATTAA